ACCCCACCCTTCACTACCCAAGGGAGTCTCAGAGTGGCTTACAAACGCCTTTCCCTTCCCCTCCCCACAACAGACACCCTGTGAGCAATGCTCCCTCTAAGCTGTGGAGTCAATTCAATTCAAATACCTTTTATTGGCATACAATATTAGAAGCATTTACCAATAATACAATCCAAAAGAAATTATAAAATAGATAGTCGTGGCTATGTCAGGCCTAACTCAAGTTGTCACAAGCTAGATTTGACCATACAAAAGATGCCTGAATCATAAAATAAATTGGCCTTCTAAACTTTTAAAATTTAAGCTGTGGAGTCCTGTGAGCAAAGATTCTACTTTGTGAGCTACTGGCACTAAAGTTGTGAGCAAGTGATTTGGCTACTGCCTGAATTAGTTTGCTCTGGAGCCCTCTTTCCTGACCGAAGGCAAAAATGTGTGAACTGGAGGCTAAAAAACTGTGAGCTAGCTCACACTCACTCAGCTTAGAGGGAACACGGGCTGTGAGGTAGGTGGGCCTGAGAGCTCTGACAGAAACGGCTCTTTTTCAAGAACAGCTCTTATCAGAACTACGGCTTGGCCAGGGTCATCCAGCAGGTGCAAATGGAGGCATGGGGAATCAAACCCGGTTCTCCCAGATTAGAGTCCACACACTTAACCACTGCACCAAACAAAGATTTTTTTTTTTTTTTAAAAGAGGTGGTTTTGCCGCTGCCCGCCTCTGCATAGCAACCCTGGACTTCTTTGGTGGTCTCCCCTCCGAATACTAAATGGGGCCCACCCTGCTTTGCTTTTGAGATCTGACTTCATCGGGCCGGCCTGGCCCATCCAGGTCAGGGGGGGAAAGGAGGATGGAGAAGGTGCAAAGAAAAGGGATCTTTGCCTTTCAGTTGGTAAAAGCTGACTTTGTTACAAAATTTATTTTAAAATATCGGAGAGCCAGTGTGGTGTAGGGTGTCGGACTGGAGCCTGGGAGACCCGGGTTCAGTTCCCTTCTCTGCTGTGGAAATGTGATGGGTGCCCCTGGGCCAGACACGCTCTGTCAACCTGACCTGCCCGTCAGGGTTGTTGTGAGGATGAAACGGAAGAGAAGAGAATAATGTAAACTGCCTTTGGGTCCCTCTTGGAGTAAAAAGTGGGACAGAAATGAAGCGGAATAAATTAGTCCAATTAAAGTGGCCAGAAGTGGCTAGACAGTCGAGAACCGGGATTAAATTCCTAGGGCCACCATCTTGGACTTCTTTTAATCTGTTTTTTACTTTCTTTTTTCAAAAAATTCTGTTGTGATTGGAATTTTAATGTTTTATATATTTGTTTTATGGCTTCATGCCTCTTGTTGTATATCGCCCAGAGCCCTGCCTCGGCAGGAATAGGGTGATTAATAAATCAAATAAATCAATCAATAAATGAAGATTTCATAGGTGAATTAGGGGGGGAAAGCAATGGGTCTTGTCTGAGTAGAAGTAAGAGAGGAAGAGAATAGGGACCGTCTGTCCAAGTGAACAGGGAACTTCCTCGTGGTGGGCCGTGGTTTTAAAGTGCCCTCTGCACATCTGAGCAGTGCTGCATGTGATAAGGACTGTTTGTCTCTTGCTTCAAACGATTCCTCCCTCCTCCACGCCAGAAATCCAGCATCCTCACCCGGGCCGGGGAGCAGCGCAAACGCAGCCAGTCCATGAAATCCTACCCCTCCAGTGAACTGCGCAACGTGTGTGACGACCACATCGTGACGGAAGAACCACCGGAGACAGAGGACATGTTGCAGCAAATGCTGGAGCGAAGGTGAGCGCGGGCTCCCTGATGCTGGAAGGCAAAAGCTCCACCCGGAGTGCGTGAAAACTGCTCCTGGGACATTTGGCAGGCTGCGTTTGCAAGCCAGGAGGACACTGAGCTGGGCGGAACACCGGCCTTGATCCATTATTTCTGCGGGCTCCTGGAAGCCTCTCCTTCGATCTGTAATCCGAGCGTTACTCCATTTCTCCCAGGTACACGCCCTATCCTAACCTTTACCCGGACCAGTCGCCCAGCGAAGAGTGGACCATGGAAGAACGCTTCCGGCCTCTGACCTTCCACGGCCTGATCTTGCGCTCGCAGCTGGTCACCTTGCTTGTGCGGGGCGTCTGTTACTCGGAGAGTCAGTCGGTGAGTTCCTGGCGGTCGGTTACTCAGCCATGCAGGCTCCGAAGTAACTTCTCCTGCTGCAGCTGAGACGGAAGGTATGGTAGTAGGTATGGGAAGGGCTGTGGCTCAGTGGCAGAGCCTCTGCTTGGCGTGCAGAAGGTCCCAGGTTCAATCCCCGGCATCTCCAGTTAAAAGATAAGGCAGTAGATGGTGGGAAAGACCTCCTCTGCCTGAGACCCCCTGGAGAGCTGCTGCCAGTCAGAGTAGGCAGTACTGACTTTGATGGACCGAGGGTCTGATTCAGTAGAAGGCGGCTTCATGTGTTCATATATGGTGGGCTAAAGGACGCGGTGGCTCAAGTGGTTAAGACGCTGAACTGCAGGCTGTGGAAGGTCGGTAGTTCAGCAGTTTGAGACCCAAGTGTGCTGCATGACAGAGTGAGCTCCCGTCTCTAGTTCCAGCTCCTGCCCACCTAGCAGTTCGAAAGCAAGAAATTGCAAGTAGATAAATAGATACCGCTTCGGTGGGAAGGTAACAGCATTCCGTGCGCCTTGGTGTTTAGTCATGCCGGCCACATGACCACGGAAACATCTTCGGACAGCGCTGGCTCTTCGGCGTGGAAACGGAGATGAGCACCGCAACCCTAGAGTCGGACTCGACTGGCTTTCGAGCAAGGGAACCTTTACCTTTAAAGGATTCCAACATCATCAGTTAGTTGCTTTAGATGTTCATAATGAGTTGACAACAAAATAAAAATG